TCATGTTTAAGTTTCATTTTGTTGAATATAAAATTATTCATATTCTGCTTTTTATTAATTTTCATTTTGAATAAAATAAATTAATTATTTAAATATAAAATTTATGTCTTCTTAAGTTATTGGTTCATTGGAGTAAAGACATCTTTTTGGCTCTCCGTCAAGAACATCCAAAACCTTTGAACCGGCCCCGGACGACCACAGTAAAAAAAGACAAAGATGGGTTTAAAATTAAAATTAAAAAGAAAAACAATATCATATCCATCTAACTGGATCACGGGACGAACCGGGTTTGTGGCCTTTTCTATTACTTTTTCTTTCTACATGTCATACTATAATTGGTGGGTTTTATTTATTTAAATAAAAAACTTATCCTATTAAAGAAGTGACTTTAACAAAGGAAAAAAAATTAAAAAATTAAAAAATTAAAAAAATATCAAAATTCATATTTTTTTAGTTACCTACATATAAAAACTAATATCAACATTTTTTCATCACATCAATTTTTTTATTCATTTCAATACTTTCAGTCTCTTATTATCTTAAAAATTACAAATTTTTCTGTTATGAATCCAAACTAAAAAAAAATGAGAAATAATAATAACTTTTAATGAGTAAATTATGTTTTTCGTCTTTGTGAATTGTTAAAAATTGCAAATTTTGTCTATTTGGTTTCAAAATTTCGGTTTGCAAATCATTTATATTTTTATACCTAAGTCCAAAACACTACTTTTAAGTATGAATGACTAAAATAAAAATGAAATGCAAAGTACAAGGACGGAAAAAAATAATAAATTTTAAATCATAAGAACAAAAAAGATAGTGAATTGTAAACCATAAGGATGAAAATTGTAATTTTAAAACCGTAAAAAACGAAAATTTTCAACAAACCATAGGAACTAAAAACATAATTTAACGTATTTTAGTTGAGATCGAGTTGGAAGGAATCATGGTTAAATATAGTCTAAGAGTAACATCAAACAAAAATAGTTTAAAACACAGACATATTAATAATAATAATAATAATTAAAAATATTATATCACCACAAGTTTCTGACCAACCATCGAACCGATGTTGTAATCCTTAATTGGCATTTGGTTTTATCGAATGATTTTGAGGAATTTGGATTTTGTAGAAAGATTTGAAATATTTGGTGTGTTTGATTTAATGGATTTGAAATGGAATGAAATTTCATTTTTTATGAATAATTTATAAAAACAAATTAAAAATAATTAAATTACTTTTTTATTAATGAATTATTAGAAAACAAGTGTTTTGACATATCTTAAAAACATTATTATATAGAAATCCTATAAAATCCTGTGAAATCGTAATCACCCCCATGACATTTCAAAATCCTATGTTCAAGGGATTTCATTAAGGGTGACAATGGGTCAAGTTGGGCTGGATTCGGATTCAACCCATTTATTAAACATGTTGAAAATCTCAACCCAATCTAACCCAACCTATTTAATTAAATGGATTGACAATGGGCTGCCATGTTTATGATTTTCATAACTCAATTGTTAAATATATGGGTTGAACCTGAGTTGACCATTTTAATTTTAATAGTTTAAATAAAAAAAAGACTAAGACTATTTAATTTTTTTGAATAAAATACAACACAACCACAAATACAAACAAATTGTTCAAAGTTTGAATTAAAACACAACCATAACAAATATATTGTTCAAGATAAATTAGAAAATTTTAAGTTTTAAGTATCTCGACTTCCATTTTCACCAATCCTAAGTTCACTCTCGGTATTACTTTTCTCTTGATCCTCTGTCTTCTCTTGAAGAGTTGGATTGGACTTTGGAGGCAATAATGGAGCAATGGACTAAAGAATTTTCTTAGGGTTTCATGATGATTAACGGAGACGATTGAAATTTGGACTTTCATCTCACGACGGTAGGATTTTTAATTAAAAATAAACAAAATTAAAAATTAGAATACTAGATATAATATTAAGAATAAAATAGAATTATATAATATTTTAAATGAGTTGGAAACAAGTAGAAAACAGGTCGAAAAATTCAACCCAACCCAACTCATTTATTTAAACGGGTTAGACGGATTGACCCATTTATTTAAATGAGTTGAAAATTTCAACCCAACCTGTTAATTCTGGGTTGGGTTAACGGGTTAGGTCATTTTTTGCCACCCCTAGATTTCATATCCGAATAATTCTACAAACTAAACATGAGATTGAAATAGATTTGAAATCCAAACCCGTCCAAATTCATTTTATTCCCACAAACCAAACGGAAGGATGATCCAAGTGACTTCATTTCTGCATTCTGTATAATGCATGCATGCATGCATGCCTACTACACTCCATCATGAGTGTTGGTTGATGCAGTGCAGGCCTTCTTTTTGTCTGCTTCATAAATCATAATCACTTCAGCTATCAGCTTTTAGTGATTCAGCCAACACGTCATCACCCTCTCCTTTAAATTAAACTAAAAGCTTTTAGTGATTCAGATTTCAGACCGTGTATCAGAGGGAGGTCTTTATACTCGTTTCTGTGCTTTCATTGGAGACTCACCGATTTCATGCAAGTCAAATTAAGAAGCAATATCTCGTTTATTCCTCTTCTACTGAAGCATGATATCGGCCCATCACAGTTGTAATTACTTCTGAAATAGTGTGGCTGCAACAACTTTTGAGAGACTTTGGGACACTAGTACTGTTCGAAAAGGCCCGTCACAACTGTCATCATGGCGCGTTATGGCTCAAGACTTGCTTCTCATGCACGTTAAGCCCGATGGTGTAATGCACGGTTTTTATGACATGATATTTGACTTTACTTGTCTTTTTAACGTCTTATTTGTTAATTTTTAATATATAACTTAACTTTAATTGTCACAACGTACAGTATGCTCCCATGTTTTGTGATAACAATTCTGTTATTCATTTAGCTTCTAAACCTACTTTTTCACGAACGCACTAAGTGTATAGAGATTGAGTATCACTTTATCCTGTGTCCACGAAAACTACTGAGATCATTTCACGAAAACAACTGATCTACTTTATATATTGTGTCCAAACAAGTTTATTTAGTATTATTATCATTGAATACAGTTGTAATTATATAGGGTTGCATTTTCTTGTAACATGGGGAATGGTAGCTTCCTAGTAAATTCCTAGACATTGAAAGAAACAACAATCTTTTAAGGATCATAACTTTTGAATTTTCAATGGTGTTGAGATTGAGATCTGAACAAGATCCCAAGTCTTGTTTCCCATTAAAAAATAATCCTTACATGTGAAGTACACCAAGATTTCATATGAATAAAATACCTTAAAAGATTCAAATACGAAACGAACCAGTAAATCTTACACTTGTACCCATATCGACCTCTCTGACATAGTATAAATAATTTGCCCCTCTCATATACAGAGTTAGAAAATATCTTAACTAAAATCATATCATATGGTTGAACTATTTGTACAAAATACAGAAAATACACACAAATCTATCACCAAGTTCTCAGATACCATCTCATAACCTAAGATAAGAACACCAAGATGAAGATCCACCCTCCATTTTACAGCTAAATCATATGCCACTTCCCTAATTCATCGACCACACCGGTACCCATCATTTCCTGTAAAAATAACAGTCGTATTTATATCGTATGAGAAGAGTAATAATAAAATAGACCCATTGAACCACAAGGGTGGTGTCTGATTGGTTTGAACTTGGCTCCAAAGGTCGAAAGTACCAGGAGGAATAAAAATCCCCTTGTGGCCACGGAGGTTCAAATGCGGTGACTCCGGGCTACCAAGCAGGTGGTTGCCCTGAGATTAGTCGACTCGCATAGCGGGTTAGATATCCAGGTTAATTAAAAAAAAAATTAGAGTCATTGGATTTGTATAAAAAGATAGATTTCACCATATGTAATTAATTACCTGTGATAATGGTTTGCTTCATCTATGGTCTCCAAACCACCATGATTCTTATGATCACCTTTCTTTGCAGCCAAACACACACTGTGATTCTGACTTTGACTTTGAGTTTGACTTCTTCCAAACCTCCACCACCCTGAACTCTTTGGCAAGAAAATTCCATCATCATCATCATCATTAGCAGCAGCAGCAAGAAGCTCATCTCTGAGTGTGACCACCTTCTCCTTCAATGGCAGAATCTTGGATGATGATCTGAAGAAGAGTTCATCAGCAGAATTCGAAGCGAAACAAGGGACCGAAAACTCGAAATCAGAAGACACAGGAGCTTCTGTGTAAGTTGTAGTGCTGTGCTTCATGTTGGCTGCTGCTGTTTCACCAAAATCATTTGAGAAAGAGATTCTTGGCCCCAAGAACCCTCCTTGTTGCTGCTCATTGTTGAGTTGCAGGTTTAAGCATGCCATTGATTTTGTAAGAAGAAAGACACACTGGTTCTTGTTTCCTCCAACTCTATAAGTAGCTGCCACTCACATGTTTCTGCTGATATTTATACAAACAGATACTTTTTTATTTTTATAAAAAAAAATTAGATGATTGCAATTTACAACAAGATAATATATTATATACACTAGAATACAAGTACCTGTTTAGCTTGATATGTAATTTAAGTAAATTTATGATTTTTATGTCAAAAGTCTAAAATACGTTAACCACAAGGGTGGTATCTGATTTGTTTGAGTTTGACTCCAAAGGTCAAAAGTATCAGGAGGTCCCAAGTTCAAATCTAAGAAGGAATAAAAATCTTCTTGTGGCCATAGGGGTTCAAATACGGTGACTCCGAGCTATCTGCAAAGCAGGTGATCGCCTGGGATTAATCGGCTCACATAACGGGTTGGATATCCAGGTTAATCAAAAAAAAATTATGTTCTAATAAATTTATAACCAAGAAATCTTTAGGGCATTGTCATTTAATTATTTGTAATGATCAGACGTCACAACAATCTGTTTTAGTGAGATTTGTGCGACCATAAAAACAACACTGAACCTTTATAATGTTTTTGTCGTGAATGTTTGACGTTTTTTGTATCTTTACAATGTTTTGTTGTGAAAGTTTAGTGTTATTTTGTGGTCTCATAAAAGCAGGCCGGTGTCACGTAGATCCAACCCATGATGATGATATATTTATATATTTGTAACGATGAATTTGTACTGTTAAGTTGGAAGTTTTCACGGAAGCTGTCATTTAATTTGACTTTTTGGAGTTGAAGACAGATCTTTCAGTGGTACCCTACCTCTAAACAGGACATGATGGCTTCTTTTGTTTTGTTTTGATTTGATTTGATTTATCTTCGGCAATATGTAACCAACATTACAACTAAGTTCATCGAACGCCTAAAATATCTAGCTAAGTGTCTTAATATGATGTTTTAAAAAATATAAAGCGTCTCATCTAAAAATGTTACAATAGATATATAAGATGCTTTTCAGTGTTTCGCCAAGTTTTTAGGACACTTCTAAAATAAAATGTCGTATTACTATTTTATCAAAAGTGTCCAATAAACCGTTTTTATAGTATATTTTTCAGATACTGTCATATAAAATAACTAACACGATACTTTATTTTAAGAATGTTCTAGAAAACTTGTTAAGAAGCACAAAGGCATCTCATCAACCTATAAACCTAATTCCTATAAAGTATCTTATTAGGGCGTTCATACATTTTAAATGTTCTATATAAACCTAATTTTGTTGTAATGTAATATAGATATTTGTTGGTTGTATTTTGTCATGATTCATGAATAATACTAATATTGACGTTAGAAATCCATTTCACTCGATGTTTGTATATATAAATTGGAATAAAATCTTGCCCACAAATCTTTTCTTTTTCTCGTCCCACCAATCACAAAAAGACATCTAATTATTTTATTGAATATTACTTTATATAATTTATGTTTTTTTTTTCATTCCTTCTCTGATAATGTGTTTTTATGTGATTAATGAACATAGATGGTACATGGGATTTTTTTTATTAACCTGGATATCCAACTCGCTATGCGAGCCGACTAATCCCAAAACGACCATCTGTTTTGCAAATAGCCCAGAGTCACCGTATTTGAACCTCCGTGGCCACAAGAAGATTTTTATTTCTCCTTGTATTTGAATCTGAGACCTCCTGGTACTTTTGATCTTTGGAGTCAAGCTCAAACCAATCAAACACCACCCTTGTGATTGGTACATGGGATTTGAGGTGTAACATCTGGGAAATTTGAGGAATTATCATGTTCGATATAATTGGTGATAACGAGATATAAAACGGTCTTTTAGAGAGTGGATATATGTATTTAAGATGTTAAGAGATACTTAGAAATATTAAGTATTTGGAAAAATAATAAGAAAATGAAATGCAAATTTTAGAGGGGAATTTGGATACTTAAAAACTTTGGTGGTCAAAATGAAAATCTAGAAACTTGAGGGTGCAAATGAATAAACTCCTTTAATTTAAGGAAAAGATCGGCTTCTTGTTTTTGGACGGTAAGAAAAATCAAGCCGGGCTATACAGATAAGGAGAGCTTAATGTTTAACTTCGTCATATGTAATGCACGCCTTTAAAATTGTCGTGACCAAGACATGACTCCTGAGGCTTAATGTTTAACTTCGTCACCATGACACGTCTCATGCCATTTAGAATCTTGATAAATGAATTTCTTTAATCTTTTTAAGAACAACATGATTTTTTTAACTGTTATTTAAAAAATTTAGAAGAATATTTAAAAAATGTAACATTACTCATCTCGTACGTATTTTTTTTGACAAAAAGTTGATTATCGACAGTTCTAACCGACCTCACACAAAACCCGCCTCCAAAGGCATAAATGTGAGGGGGGACATCACTCCCAAGCAAACCCAATATCTATTTTATATTTTACGTCATCAAGTATATGATATTGTAACAGTAAAAATGAATAATTCAAGATTTTCTGTACTTCTACTATCATGGTTCACGGTTATAATGTTCCAAACAGTTTTTCTGTACAAAGAATATGGTATATATTTTGTAAAATTCATATTAAAAAATATATATTTTAAGCAGATATTCTTAAATGCATGGTTTATAAAGTTTTTATTATTTTGAACTATAAGGGTGGTGCTTGATTGGTTGAGCTTGACTCTAAAGATCAAAAGTGTCTGTAGGTTCCAAGTTCAAATCCAAGAAGGAACAAAAATCATCTTATGGTCACGGAGGTTCAAATGTGGCGACTCCGAGCTACCTCCGCGCTATGTGGTTTTGAGATTTTTTTTTAATTTTTGAATAAAATATAAACTTGAAGATATTATAAAATTTTGAAAAAAATAAATGATATTAGTATCAAATTAACTACTTAAAAGTTTTCATTGTAATTTATTTAATTTAATTTTTTATTATAATTTAATTAAAGTTTAATAACGAACTAATTTATTTTCGGTTTAATATAATAATGTTATTAAGATAATAATTAAGTATTCTCTTAGAATTCAATGATTATCTTTTTAGATTTTATATATATAATATATTTAATAATGTTTATCTGCAATTAGTTAGACGATTTGAACATCGAGTTTTAATAAGATGTACTCACACATGTTCTACTTGTAATCTTAAATTTTAAGTAATATGCATCAATAAACATTATTTTATATATAAAAAAATATTTTATATTTTTTTATCAAATGCTTTATAAATTATAGATAAATAGTAATATATTGATTTATTAAATTAAATATAATAAAAAAATTAGCAATATTAATGGCAGGAGTTAAAATGGCTCTAAATGACAGAAGAGGTGGAAGGATGAGTTGGGGGCCAATTTACCCCCTCGAATAAAAAAAGCTTTGGGAGGATGGGCCCACTTACTTATGAACCAGATATCATTAATATATGATTTCATATTAAATTAATAAAAAAAAAGTATGCACTTTTAAAAACTATGGTCTAATTTGTTTTTGAGATCTGGTTTATAAGTAAATGGCACTATTCTCCACAGCTTTTTTATTTAGAGGAGATTAATTATATCTTTATATATTATTGTTAAATGTATTTTTATTTAGAGATTTTTAACAATTGATTTATAATTTTTTTTAAATAGAGTAAAAAAAAAATCAAAATCTCTATAAAAGTTGTAAGTAAACTACTTTATTTTAACAATTCTACTGTTAAATATATTAATAAAATATTAAGTATATTTAATAAAATATTATTTCTTTCTCCTACATATTTAAGTTCAATTGGTAGGATATGATTAAAGTATTGTTTTTTTATTCTATAAAGTTTTAGAGATTTCTTTAAATTTAGAAAATTTTACGATCTTTCTCTTCTTTTTATTTCTCTATTTTAGCACTAAGGATAGCAGTTCTGTTGAAGCAACAAAAATGCTAAAATCTCATTTTTTTTTTCAATTTTAGCATGACTGTTAGAAATGTTCTTAAAAAATCATAGACAATCAGTAAATACTTTAAATGAGTGTTTGGTCAAAGGTATTAAGCAATAATTAATAAAATTTATAATAAAAATTATTTTATTTTTTTATAATATAATAAGTTTATTTCCTAAAAACCAAAATTTTCATCTCAGATTAAATAATGTAATTTTTATTTTGATTTTTGGAAGCTGAACCAAATAGTGATGAATAAGGAGAGCAAAAGATGGTGAGAAAAAGAAAAAGAAAAAGAAAAAGAAAAGGTGATTTGTAGTGTTGTGGGAGTGGGAGGGGAGTGGATGAGCTGTAGAGACATGTGTTTGACCATGTAATTAGTGGGTCAAAGTCAAAGGTCAAACCAACCCCTATCATTACCTCCTTGTCATTTTCTCATCAATTATTCATCTCAACTTCCCACCATAAAATAACCCACCTTTATAATTATATCCATCTCTACTCTACTTCTTCCATCCATCCAATCCCAAAACTCCACCTCATTTTCCATTTCCATTCTATTTTTCAATATATATATATATATATATATGATTACAAATTCATACGAGAACATTTTTATCTTATGAAAATATATAAAAAAAAACTCATCACGTAACACATGAAGAGATCTGGTGATTTAGAGACGACGTAGCCCATACCTAGGTCATGCCAAAAGTCATTCACATCTCTGAATTAGTGTCATATATAATTGTTTGTAGTATTAGGGTATTCTTGCATTTCATAGAATGAATGTCTTCTTGTTTAATCCCCCTCCTCCTCCCCTTCCCAAACACGCACATATAATGGAAGGTTCAAATGAAAAAGTTAAATATCGTGAGAATGTAAGATAAGTTCATATATGAATTATTGAAAAATTCTATTTGAATATGTATATGTGAACCCGTATGAATAATCTGTAACATTGGTTCATATATTCATCTCTAAATAGATTTTTTTCTCGAGATTTTTTCAATTATTTACTATAAATCTTCCTTTAACTTTTTTCTTACATTTTCATGATATTTAGTCTTCTTATTTGAATCGGTCTACACACACACAC